TGTTAGCTGAATACTTTAAGACGATTTCAGGGTCTAAAACAGACTGCTATAGAACAGCCGTATTTCCTGACATCCATTAAAGTGGACTAACTTTCTATGCAACTCCGCTGCTGTGATGTTACCGTCCAGTTTACCTCAAAACAGTCACTGCGAAAGAGTAATCAGTAGGATGTATTGCTGTTTGTGAACAATTAGCTTTTACAAACTTAGACCTATGTAGTAAGGTATAATGCAAGAACAAAGGACTTCACTGTTAACTTCATGAGACACAAACACTCACAGAGCATTCGGAGATCGTTTTACTTATATTTTCGGAGTCACTTCAACTTTTAAGCATATAATTACAACTTAAATTTTATGTGTATACAAAAATTATTAAACATTACCTCATTTTTATTAAATTATTCTGTTGAACTTTTCCGATGTCCAGGTGTTATTAAAACCGCAAGGTTTTAGCAGCTGATTAATCAGGTAAGAGGAGAACAAGGAAGGAGCTAATTTGTAAGCCTCCCTGGCAGAGTTAACGTCAAACCTCAAGGTCTGAGACTAGCTCAAACACGAGGTACAAAGGATTACCTTTACTTTGTTCTCCTTCCGTCTGATAACGGAGGTAGAATTAACTTCCGAAACTGTGGTTTAAATAACAAAATCTAAAACTGTATTTCGCTATCGCAAAAAACCTTCGAACTTCGACGTTGTATTTTCCTCAGGCCATACGATTCTTTTCTGCATAAACTATGTATGGGTCCTTCGCGCTGTGTTCTGTCGAGTGCCGTTCGAGATGAACAGTTGTTTTAATCGGTCCTATTTATTACGTATCACATTTATGCCTAACGTCTCGGTTTACCACAGGATCATTATGATTCTTCCAACCGCCTTTCTAAATACGCCAAATTGTGATAGTTTCAATGTTTATTTTTTTATATTTGCTCCTGTTTTAACTGCACATATCACAATAGACCTGATGACATTTTTATTTGTATTTATAGGCCCGGATATTCTGGTTGTCTTAAACTGTTGTTTGACTTCGATTTATAGGACTTCGCTCCATTTTTATTTGTATTTATAGGCCCGGAAATTCTGGTTGTCTTAAACTAATGTTTGACTTCGATTTATAAGTCTTCGCTTCTTACTGTTTAAACTTCAAAGTGTTTAAACTTAATATTTATCTAAGATATTGGTTTACGTTCTCATATACTGATGCATTAATATCAAATACATTTGTACATTTCATCATGCAAATAGCATTTTGGAATTGATAATCAAAATCACGTTGAGTATTGCCTTGAAACATAATTTTGAATGTCTTGGAAGTGTCCTGGAGCGTATAGGAAGAGAGGTATTCGTCTTCGCTGCGTTGTGTTAATGGATATCACACCGACGCTACACTCAATGTTCTAGTGACGCATCACACCGTCAGAAGCTGACAGATAACTGCGCTTACCACGTAGTAATTCCATCACATTTTGCTGATGTACTGAAATTTATTAATGACACTCTGGAAGAACCTATGGATGTAAAATAATCTTATTTTAAATTTCCAGCATTTGTCTTCGTTGGGGAAAATCTCATTTCAAACATCTGACAATTAATTTAATGATATAATTACTTCTATAAATCATCTTCATTATCTGTAATTAACACTACTTCATCTCCACTTCAGACTCTGCTTATTTCTTTCGTCCCGATTTCCCAATTCATACACCTTTTTCCTTTATAGATTTATAATTTCATTCATTAGAACATTTAAAATAAATGGCTCCTTGCTGTAACCCTCTCTTAATGTATGTCTATGATGATAATCTCCCATTTACATTATTTCTTGTACAATATTAGTATATATACGTACTTGACAAATAAAAAGCCGATTTGACACGTTCTGTTCTAAAATATCTCAAACTTGTTTTAAGTGCAGGATATCGAAAGCGTTCGATATAGAGAATATAGTTTATTACATTCAAGGTAAATATTACATTTATTTATACATATATCCGAGATAAATGTAAATATAAGTAGAAGTAAAGCATTTTCGTAGCCAATAGCTGTGCCAAAAGAATAGTTACTATTGATTACGAAATTAAATTTAAACTTTAACAAATTTTATAATTAGCTCACATGAATTATAATAATTTTACTAGCATCGTATTTATTTATTGAAAATAACCGTAGCTGTAGTTGTAAAAATTATTATTGGGATTAAAAAACGTGACCCTAAAAATCCCTTTGCTGCAGTAGACGTATTTCTTGAAATCGGTATGGTCGTAATTTCAGCTCCCTTGTCTCTCGACGAGCACTTCCTATGTCCCGAAACGTTGTTACCAGCCAATTAATTATTGTCTTACTCTGTAATTCCTTGTAAAGTTACGAATCGATAAACTTCCGATAAACAACAGCAAACGATTTCGATGTTAATTAACGTTTGAGAATGAACAAACTTTCTGATTATGACGTTCTTGCGGGTTCTGGCACAGTGTGGACTGGCCAGCATTTTGGAAAAGCGTACTGTCTGCAATTTACCCTAATCCTTTGTAATACCACGCCAAACCTCAAAAGAATATTATATTCTTAATAAGGTGTCGGAACAAACAAATATACATTTGGTTCCTTGTTAAATTTATGTAGGTTTTATTTAACTATATTTAAATACACTTCTATAATCTAAAAATGAATATAAGAAACGCATTAATTTATAACCTGAAAATCTATAGGGATATCTAAGCGTAAATAGTTGACTACCGCCACGGTGGTCTAGCGGTTAGAACGCTGGCCTTGTAATCCTGGGGTCTCGGGTTCGATTCCCGGCGGTGCCCGAATTTATAACTTGTGTTGGGCAAGGCCGTGGTCTAGGCAACACGGAGTTTTCCTCCGTGGCATCCCAACAATTACTCCATTCACACACAGAAGAAGGCAATGGCAAACCACTTCTGGATCATCTGCCAAGAACGTATATGAACAGGTCCCAGTCCGAGAAAAGGATGGAAGGATCCTGTTCATATGGACCTGTCGTCAGACAGAACACTAATAATAACAAAAAAACATTTCAAAGTCTTCTCATCTATACCTAGGTCTCCCAAGTGGCCTCTTGCTGTCGGGGTTGAAACTAATTTTTTTTATAAATTTATCATCTCTCCTCCCATGCAACCAGCCTTCCCCCAATCTTATCTTTCTTAATTTGATATACATTTATAAATTACCTTCAAATAAAAGACAATAATTTTTGACATGCTGTCAAATATAAACGTGATTAGCAACTTCGGCCAAAGTTCTTTGAAGTTACCAACAATCGCAGAGACTAGGATATTTATTGGTTAATTGCAACCTATAGGAAGCCAGGAATTTTGACCTGTCAGTTTTAATTAAATGAAAGTGTAATTATTTAATAATGGCCCGTTAGATTCAATCGAGTTTTAACGAAACGCCATTCTCTACTTGTTGAAACAGGACGGATGGAAAAGTCCCCTTGCGTCGTTTGTCCATCAGAAAATTACTGCAAATTAGGTCTGCTACATTGTTTGTTCATATGTGCAGGACACCCATCTCCTCATCTCTCTCTCTCTCCTCTTTAACTTCATCCCCAGCTTCGAATTCTCCTAATTTGCCTTCTCTCGTTTACTTCTTCGCCTCGTCTATTTCCTCTATTTGTTCATTACAACCAAAAGAGTACACAGTGCAATGAAATGAGTGCTATTTCCTTTCTAATATTTTACACACAGATAATTCTAAAAAAAAGGGTTTTTAAATAAACCAAGAAGCAGTCTTACTCACCTCAAGATAAAACAGCTGACACTTTCCAGTTCGCGTATGAATAATCTAAGAGTGCAACAGTTTCTAGACCGCTCCGCACTGTACAGTCCTATCAAGTATGATCCTGCTCTTACCTTTATAGTTTAACTAAATTAACTGCATGGAGCAGAGCCATACTTGAAAAATTTGTAATTGCTCAGGTGATCAAGGAATTTTCCGCCTTCTATGTTACACAAACATACGTTTCATGTTCGTGTTTGTAAGATTCCTCCACTGCACACAATCTTCAGCCAGATGAATCTAGTCCATGCGATTGGGCAACATTTCCATTAGTCAACTATTTTTTTTTTATTTAGTGTTCTGTCTGACGACAGGTCCATATGAACAGGATCCTTCCATCCTTTTCTCGGACTGGGACCTGTTCATATACGTTCTTGGCAGATGATCCAGAAGTGGTTTGCCATTGCCTTCTTCTGTGTGTGAATGGAGTAATTGTTGGGATGCCACGGAGGAAAACTCCGTGTTGCCTAGACCACGGCCTTGCCCAACACAAGTTATAAATTCGGGCACCGCCGGGAATCGAACCCGAGACCCCAGGATTACAAGGCCAGCGTTCTAACCGCTAGACCACCGTGGCGGTTTTTGAAATGTATCTTAAATAAACACAGGGTATACACAAAAGAATGATGCAGTCTCAAAAGATAATAACAAAATTATTGCCGCCGCTGACGGTGTATGTTGTGCCCGTGTAAGGTGAGAAATAATTTTTTTATTAACTTTTGAAACCGCACCATTCTTTTGTGTATACCCTGTTTGATGTGAAACTGTGGATGGATTTAACTGGCTCAGGATTGAGGTCAGTAGCCGACTCTTAAGAAACTCGCTTTCATCTCTGGTATAACGAACTGCCACCAAGAGAAAATAACATTTACACTTGTGTGTCACAGTAATCTGTTATTTATGGAAAGGTCTTCAATAAATGTGGCATTTACATTTCTAACAAAAATATATGGAACATTGCTCTATTCAACAAGCACCTCTTAACATGTCAGCTACATTGCAGTGAAACCAGAAGACAGTCACTTTCACTCCTGATACTTACATAGCCTATGAAGAAGTCCCCTGATTTATCACAATAACCAAAACCCATCATTGAATCTTGAGAAGTGAAATCAGTCCACTTCAGAGTCTTATATAATCTCTCCCTTTCAATATTATCCAAAGAAAACTGTGTATCTGTTCCTTCTTGTACCTACCTTGAAAAAACATAAGATGACGAACATCACTATCAGGAACCAAACTACTTTAGTGGAGCAGAACCATCTCGGGAGATATGCAGTGCATATTTGATCCACAACGTTTATTAGCCATGCCACATATTTGTCCTTGTACGCAACAATCGCTGGTGCTGGGCCTTGTAACAACAATATAACTGTAACAGAACATCACATCATTGGTACATGCCTTAATCATCTCACTCTCAACTTTATTATATTAATAATATTACAATAATAGTACACACTCAAATACACAATAGAAGGCTTCTATATAAAGAGAAACTTAAAGAACTTTTTCAACCTCCCATCACTTTACCCAGCATGGGTCAATGACCAGAACAGCACCATGTTCTTTGAAAGCCCTAGTCTCATTTCTTGCGTTGATTTCACAGACAAATTTCAAACCTAAACATTGCAGTCAGTAAATTTGTAGTTTTGCATGTATCATCTTTACTTTTATACATAAAAACTGGCAACACAGATCCTGAACCACACTGTATGAAGCATTCTCAGAATCTAATCTGTCCCCATATTATACATGATTGTAACTTTGAGTTGTAGTAATTTCTGCACAAATATTTGAACTTCGCAAATGAAGCGATTATTCCTTAGGGTAGCAAATTTTGTCACCTTTAATTAAATTGCAGTATAGCTTAAACGTTTACATCAGCAACCTGCAAGCATAGTTTCTAGTAAGTTACGACTTAAAAACATTTCTATGAAATGTTAAGTGACAAAGCAGAAATTGATCACTTTTACTTTATCCTTACGAGTTAAATTACGAAATGGAAATTTTTTTGAAGTATTTCTGCCGTGGTGACATTTATCACGTTCGTCTTTACATAACTGCATCAGAATAAAGGCTTTTCGTACTCAGTAGCACACAAGCAAGTTAAAATTCAATTTAAACATTCAATATCTCACTTACTAATGTCCATGTCTTCCATTGTGCACAAAAGTAAACTATGATAACACACCATAAACAGCACACAAACACAAATCCGTTTCTGTAGAAACTCTGTCATAATGCTTCTAAACAAGAGTTATTTACTCCATAGCCAACTATGTTGATTTTACGCTATAACTATCAAAGTTTCACCACAACTAAATTCGGTATAATCTTTAATGTAGCACAGATAAAGAAATTTAATTTTACTCTTGACTGAGTTCATAAAAATGTATTTGTTTCCCACAGTTCGGTGTCATAGCTGCGTATAATTTTGCCGTAATGGAAAATTTACACTACCAAGGACGATAACATTGACACAAATTCTGAAAATATTAAATAGGCCTATGTGTTGTTGTTGAAGTAGAAGTGACGGGAAGCTGGAGAATACCGCATACAGTCGCAATCTATACCTCCGTAGTAATTATGGACCCAAAACTGCCAGACTCAAGTATCCTATCCGCTTGCAGGCACGCGTACCTGAAACAAAACCAAGTACTGAAATAAACATCCGCATTGAGAGACCAGTAGTAATTGTTTCTATGGAGACACTACACCTCATTCATAACCTACTGGCCAACTAAACCGACCTTCAATGTAATCAAAATATTTCTTACTTTACGTCCTCCACACAAGGGTAAGATGACATACATAAATTCAACACACGCTCAAATAACATCAAATTAACTTGCACGCCCTTGCAATATATGACAGAAGATCTACATTGGACTCAGAACGCATACTACTTTGACGCCGACCCAATAAAACAAACCATAACGAACGGCTACGCCATTACCTCGCAGGCAGTGATAGCAACGTCTGAAAAACAGTGAACAAATCCGGCCTAAGCGGTAGGGATATTCAATGATCGTTCTATGCGCACCGTGACGAACAACCCTGGCATCTACCGACCACAGATCTGAAGTAGATGTCCATCCGAACACACTCCATTGCACTGCCGTTTGAAATGCTGCCTGAAATACAACACCTCAGATTGGAAACTAATCGGCAGCAACGGGGTTCCTGAAAAGAATTTCCGTGATTGCCATTAGTGACATCTTCCCTCTTAATAATATAGTAAAACCCGTTTTTGTATCGTTGTGTTGTAGTGGTTCGGCAATTTTTTGACGTAAATACGTCCTTTTAAAACGTGAATGACACATAAAAGTTTGTGCACGACCAATTGCGGACTCCCCATACGCTTGCTTTAGCATTTTATAGGTTTCCGTAGCTATTGTAATAATGTGATGTGCTAACCAAAAGTTAGGAGGATTTGAATTCAACGCGGCAACCGTATGTTGAATGGCCTGTCGCCGCTTGATAGGGCGAGCAGTATCCTTTGTGAATTAGTGTGCCAACAGCCCTGAATGTGAGAGGCCGAGTTCATGAGTCTCGTGCGTTTTCGTAACGTTGTGTTGTAGTGTTTCGGAGATTTTTAAACCTGCATAAATGGCAGATTTTAAGGAGTAAAGAATCTTCATAAAATTTTGCTTTAAGCTTAAAAAACTGCTGTAGAAACCCACCGCATGCTTTTGGAAGCATTTGGTGAGGATGCTATGGGTCAAAGTAAAACTTTTTTGTGGTACAAACGCTTTAAGGTTGGACGAACGCCTGTCGACGACGATGAGCGTTCAGGACGACCATCGACAAGCACAACACCGGAAAACATCGCGAAAGTGCGAGAGGCTGTGGTTGCAGATCGTAGACGTTGAAGCGGCTACGGGAGAGCATTAGGCGCAAACGTCCGGAAAAGTGGGAGAACAACAACTGGGTTCTCCACCACCACAACGCGAACGCCCACACAGTTTTGGCTTCCAAAAACACGACGGTGATTCCCCACCCACCCTATTCGCCTGACCTCGCCCCCTGCGACTTCTTCCTGTTCCCCAAAATGAAATTTCGATTGAAAGGCCGTCGTTTTGACACAATCGAGGAGATCCAGGCAGAATCACAGGAGGTGCTTAAAACACTCGCACTTGAAGACTTCCAGGGATGCATGGAATCATGGAAAAAACGCTGGGATCGCTGTATCCATGCCCAAGGGGACTACTTCGAAGGGGACGGTGGAAACTACGAGTTATGATAAGCAATATTTTTTATGGGCAAATTTTCTGAACTTTTGAGTAGCACCTCTTATAACATATGCTTGATATAACGTCTTCGCACAAGTCCAGCCAAGATCCGATATTAAATAACATATCGTCCAGTATCTATATGCATATTGAAGCAGCTAGCAACACCCCCCGATGATTTGAGAATTCGCAGGCTGCTTATAAACGAAATTCCAGATTCGTGCGTTTCACGTTCTGAAAACTCGAAATATAAGAACCCCAACTATGGGCCTGTAACTTTGCCAATTTTAATCGGACCATAGTTTCCAACTTTAAAGAACGTTCTTATGATGACTGGAGACGTACCACATGTATAAGGTTAGATCATTCTTGCATTTTGTACTTGCAGAGAGCGGTCGGTAATGCAGCCTCGAACACAACATTCGCTTAATACGTTCTCGTGAGCAGTGAAAGTTAATACGAAACGTATTTCACAATTAAAAAGTAATTTCTGAAGGAACATGACGTATGAGTTGCTCCACGGTAATATAACTTAGCGTTAGCAGTGTTTGACCTATTTACATCCTGTAAGTCTTTTGACATGGCTGGCTTTACTTACCCTCTGAAGGAAGTTGTGCTATTGATTTTTATCACCCTTAAAAATCCATCGACCTCAGTCGGGTTTGAACCCGTGAACCATGGGTCCAGTGGCTAGCATGCTAACCACTAGTCCACCAAGGGCGACAACTCAATCATCAGAAGTTGAATCAGAAGTCACAACTTCTGATTCAACCTTAGGAGCATTCATATGAATTATTTTAAGAATTACAAACAGGAAACAGTCATGCAAAAGAGAATGGTCATTTTGAAGAAGATTCACATGCTACATGTTCAGTAAGTGTCTAACTATAGAATTATTACATAGCTCACTGTAAGCAAAACTATGAAGTATTCTGAGCAACTTTTAAGTCAACATTCCTTTTCTGTGAGAACCAAATCAAAAATCCCTGCTGAAGCCGTAATATATAATTAACAGCAACATTCTTCTTGTGGAAACTGAAATGCTTTCTGTGAAGCTAAATCATGACACGGTAAAGAAACTTAAATGTATCTCTTTTCTTTCATGATTTATTCATTAAGAAACAATATGCATTTAATTTCTGTTAAGACTTATAAATGAATTTTATGTGTCAAATTAAATCACATAAAATACAATTGGTAGACCTTGAGCATAAGTACTATGCACAAAAGTATCAATGAGCTTCAACAACATTAACAGTTGACTACAGAAATATTTCAAGTAAACGAGCAAGACAAATGTCTATAACGATGATTATCTTCTGGGTTTTGGCACCATGTGGACTGAACAATAAATGCCACTGTTTCAATCTTCAGGGCTGAAGAAATGATGCTGTGAATCATGGGAAGGAAGGGAAGTGCGAAGAAACGGGTCAATAAGGATGGAATGAGGTAGAGACTAAGCCAGGAAGACTCCAAGCATGCATCAAGAATGGAGAGAGTTTCTCACCACGGAATCAATCCCACTTAGTGGGGCCCTGAAAAGGGCTGACTTCTTCTCTCCTATCCTCCCTCTGCCCCTCTTCAGCCCTGCAGATGGAGACAGAATATTTCTCCGAAACAGTGGCATCTACCAAACAGTCCACAAAGCATCAAAACCAAGAAGCACATCATCACTGCCATGGAAACCTCAAATCTCTATTTTCTTGAAACTTAATAACTGCTGTACCATATTAGAACAAAACCACAACAAAACCCTCGTCACAAAATTTCAGTCAATATTATGAACATCAGCTGCCACAAATGTAAGCAACAGCCAACATCTGGATGCACCTACCCTCCCATTTCCTATTCTGACAGAATTCTAATACTACATTGCTACAATACCAAGTTGCTGCTTCAAGAATGAAATAATGAAGTGGAAGTGGCATACTAATCTCGGGATGCTCCAATGATGGTAAGTATATACAAGAAAATGTTGACAATGTCCAGGTACAGATTTAGAGCAGCAAAAATGTATTCTTCTGGCGATATAGAGTACTTGTGTTTTCCACCCATCATAAGTTGTGTATCGTAAACAAGATACAGAGAAAACAGCAGTGCGCCACATGAAGCATATATCAGTGTTATGGTTTTCCCAGGGATGAAAATTGCAACAATGCCAAAGATCATGAGGATAATGACAGCAACAAACAGAGCACCTCCCATTATATTCTTCTGGCGATATAGAGTACTTGTGATTACCACCCATCATAAGTTGTGTATCTAATACAAGATACAGAGAAAACAGCAGTGCGCCGCATGAAGCATATATCAGTGTTAAGATTTTCCCAGGGATGAAAATTAAAACAATGCCGAAGACCATGAGGATAATGAGAGCAACAAACAGAGCACCGCCCATTACTGTAAAGTCCCATTTCGTCTGGAAAGCGAACATGGTCAGACCAAAACAAACTGCGGAGCACATACCAACAGCCATCAGGACCTGAAACAATACAGAACAGTGATCAATCGCTCAGAAGAAAGGAAGCAAATACGCACAACTTCCTTGTTTTCTAATGCTTCCCAAGACTCTAAAAAAATTAATTAATATTTAACACTTATATAACCTTTGCTCTTTGCGTGTCACATAAACATATAAGATCTAATACCAAGCACTAGTCTGACTTGTTGAGACATCATAGTCTAGGTAGATGAATTTTTTCCTCAGTCCTGTACTTGGAAACAGAACTGAACAGATTAATCTCATTATGAATGTATTTGCTAATAAAATGCCGATTTTTAATTTTAATTCTGCTGATTCCTTAACGACTGTTCACAATCATCCTCATTTCACAAACCTTACATAATATCTAATATTAATTTGCCTTCATTAAACAGTCAATAAATCAAAAGATAAGAGATCTTCCTTAAGTAAGTGATAGTTGAAGATTTCTGTCTTCTGTGTTGTTGTGCCGTGTAGTCTGGTAGATGTTAACCAATGTTTCAGAGGTGAATCGCCCTGATTACGGAGGCAGTATGACCTCTGAAACTTTGGTTAACATCGACCAGACTACACAGCGCAACAACCCAGAAGACAGAAATCTTCGTACTCATCGCCCTGATGACGGAGGCAGTATGACCTCTGAAACTTTGGTTAACATCGACCAGACTACACAGCGCAACAACCCAGAAGACGGAAATCTTCATACTCACTGCTGTGAAAACCTCAAATCATACAAGTGATAGTTATTCACATGGCTCAGATGTATTTCCTGTTTTCGAACAAAAAGTTTCAAAACAATTATCGTAAAATAAAGTGATCAATGGACCCAGTTCTGGGCCATTTTGCACCTTTGCAACGTAATTATCTATAATTACATTTAATATTACCCTTCTGTGTGTCCCTAGATCTCTCTATTTTCCTCACCTCAAATAAGATTTCCTTCACTAAAATTATTCCAATTGTCAGTTCCTCCATGCATGCTACATGTCCAGCTCATGTTATCCTTTCTCATTTAGTCACCCAAAAATATCAGATTA